TTGCTATTGCTATTGCTATTGCTATTTTTTTTAAAAATCCCTTGATATTGCAAGATGATGTACCACAATCTATATGTTACAACAGTGAACTTTATTTCTAAGTTACCCAGTAACTGATGTTAGTTTTAACAATATTGATTAATGCTTTGTTCTAGAAATTTGGGATGTGTAATGTATATGTGTGTCTGAGTATGGGATAAGAAAATGCATATATGCATGATAGCTTAGTCTAGTGATTAAGACATTAGGATAAAAACTGGGAGAATGTGAGTTCTAGTTCCACCTTAGCCATGAAAGCCAACTGGGCAATCATGGGCCAATTACCAAGAGGGTGTGAGTTCTAGTCTGCCTTAGGCAAAAGAGGTTGGCTGGGTGACCCTGGCCCACTCACTCTCTCTCCGGCCAACTCACCTCATAGGCGCGGTGTTGTGGGATTTGTAGGAGGAAGAAGGAGTGTCGGATGTATTCTACATCTTAAATTGTTTATTAAAAAAATAAATAAAGGCAGGATATAAAAAAAATAAATGACTATTTTAAAACGAAGCTTTAAAAAAAACTTTTACAGACACGACAAGCCAAATCTAAGTGGGGAAAAAAAATTGTAAAGAAAAGTCATATTTGGCACACTTCTATTTTTCCTACTGTTTATCTCTGACTTTGGCGCTTTGCAATCTGATTTAAAAATTCTGAAAATAGGCAAAGCTGTTGGCTAGTCCAGGTAACGATATTGCGGCGGGATTGGTTTGGTAGACTTTTAAAATAATGCCATCTCGTTTCTTGTTTTTGTAAGCGTTCTTCTTATTGGGTTCATGCGTCTAAGCTGATGCCCATCTCTCTCTCTCTCTATTCCAGTAGAGAGCAGCAGAGTATCACTGGATATTCATTGAAACCTCAGATTTTCCCCAAATTCTTTTTTAAATAGGAGGGTCATCTTCGATTCAGCTGGAAATATTTTAATAGAAAGAGGTGATAGGGTTCATTCTTCTTTTGGAGGTGGGGAGAGGAGGGAGAAACCATTTAAAACTCAGGATCATCAAATGCTTTTATTTATTCTGGTAGCCTGGATTCTTTATTACCATATCGCGATATGATTTTGCCTGTAGAGAAACTGTTTTTTCTATTATGATTTATCATCCCTCAATAAATGCTGAAAACCGAAGTTGAGCATTGCAGTGGGGGAAAAAAAATTGAGGACAGGAGAGCTAATCTCTGCGGTGCCTTCCTTCCTAGTGCCCCAAGCTTATGTTTATTTTGCTTAATGGCTAATTCTGGACTGCCGCAGGGAACTTGTTTTTCCTCTGAGTCTTTGACAGCATATGTGAGAGAATATGAAAGCAGCCTCTATTCTTTTACCTCATTCTCAGATTGTTTTTGTGCTACTTTTATTGTTGCAAGATGATCAAGAACTCTTCCTTCCTTCCTTCCTTCCTTCCTTCCTTCCTTCCTTCCTTCCTNGCTGCCGGAGTCTGGTGGCAGCTCCAACGGCACCTGCCGGGCCACAACAGATTTGCTATCATGAAACTAGAGTATTCTTGCATGTACATGGGTTCTTAGTCTTCAGCATGCATGTTGAGGGTCCTCGAACCTACACTTTCTTCAGGATGTGTATTCAGGGTCACGCCGTTCCGTCACCTGAATGCATTTCATTCCAGACCCCATAGTGGAGAAGATGGCGAAGAGCTCGGACTTTCTGTCAGCTAACTACATGCTGGAAGTAGTGCGTCAGCCCGTCTTCATTGCCAGCATAGGTTCGGCCCTCTGGATCATGTTGATGGTGCTGGCGGTTTATGTCTGCCAGCAACAAGCCAGGCAGTTTGGTTGCGGAAGACGCTACGCCCTTGGGGAAGGTAAGAGAGGCTGCGCTTGGCGGTGTCCAGACAACACAATCAGGGCTCACAAAGGTCGGTCAAAGATTTAGCATTTCTGTAGATGCCTTTGGAACCATAGAAGGGGGTGGGAATGCCACTTAAAAGCGATGGAGGATTATCTGCAGTGGGGAGTACAAAGAAAGGATTAAATGTCCCACCAATGCCTGTTGTTTTCTGAAATTCCTTGAATAATTACCTCTCTCTGCATAAGTGGTACCACTGGAGGAAACGTATGGTTGGCCTGCAGATAAAAACTTGCTTATTCCTGAAAAAGAGGGTTTATTCAGAATAGCAGAGGGTGCTGTTGTCAGCCATGACACAAACATTGTAAACAGACTGTTAATAAGAACAGGGGATCCCCAGCATCTTACTCTACGCTTTCTTCTTTCCAGGACTGTACAGGAATGCAAGCGATGACACTATCATCAAACACAGGTGAGAGATAGCTGGAATTGATGCTTGTTTCTTTCTGAATATTTATTCTTGGGGTTAAATGTCAAAAGAATGCACGATGCTATTAAGAGGGAGGGCTGGAGTGAGTTATGGCTGGCCCAGTTTTGTGGCAAAGACAATGTTCTAATTCTTTTGCTTTCTGCTTTTGTAAAGTGAAGTCTGTGTAAAATTATGAGAATTCACCCAAATAATATAACTAGAAAACTTTTGCTATTAACCAATGTAACTTGAGTGTTAAAACGGATGTCATACACTTTTATAATTTCACATAAATAAATGGGCATACATAAAGAAATACTGCAGATGTTTATGGCCAACTACTGATGGAAGACACGGTATTTAATTTCATGACTCATCCTCTTGTCAAATTTCTAGATAAGAAACAGTTAAACAAATGCACAAGAATCCAGAGACTTTCTAAAAAGTAGTTTTGCTGAAGAAAATCCTCGAAGTCATTGTGATAGAATTCCAGCAGCTAAGCAGTAGCTGCTGGAATTCTATCATAATGATTTATTAGATTTTCCTTAGTAAAACTATTTTTTTAGAAGTTTCTGGGTTCTTGTGCATTTGTTTAACTGTTTTTTTTAAAAAAAAAATCTAATCTGCCAGGGAAAAGTTTAAGGAGAGGATGAATTGGAAAGGAAACACAAATGTTTATCAATGTCTGCCTTGCTTACAGTAAAACTATTGTTAAATTTTTGTGTATGTTTCTTCTCCCCTGCTATTCAACCTGCTAGACAGTAGTCTCTTGGGGACAGGAATCCTGGTTTACATCTGTCTCTTATTTTGGTTTACATCTGTCTCTTATTTTGGTAACAGGATGATCTGGTGTTAGGTTATTTTCCTTTGGCTGGGCAAAAAATAACTCTCAAAGCTATCATCCTGAACCATGTAAATGAAGTTATATGTGTTTTCCCCTTGACTACAGGATAGACTCCAGTGATTCTCCTTGGCTTTCAAATACATGGAAATCCACATCTGGTTCCAAGAATTACAGTACCAGCAGCAGCCTCAGTAGCCAACTTCTGTGGATGGAATCCAAAGACAGCCAAGAATTCCACAAATCTAGTATACATTTTTTTCTCCTTCATTCATGGCCCAGTTGAAAGTCTTGTTTTTATCTTTATTATAGTTCACTGCCTTTTAATTAACCCTGTGGGGTAGTTTATGGAGGTCCAGATAAAATCAAAGAATGTGCATACAAAATTCAAGAAAAGCAACATAAAGCCAGTAATAGGTTTAGTGTGCAAGGCAAATTACTTTTTATATGACTTGGGTAATTCTTTTATACAACACTTCATGCAAAAGATGGCCTATTGGAACTCAATCTAGAACAGGGCTGGGGAGCTAAACCTTGCAGAAGCTGTGGCCTTCTTTCCAGCATGCTACCCCAATGGGCTGGATGCTGTCCAGGGTATAGGAAAAGTATCTTCCTCTGTTTTTCTTGCGTAATCCCTCAAAGTGGAGGAAGGAGATCCTTTCTCCAAAAAGGAGATGGAACAGGTTGGAAATGCACATCCTGTGACTCCTTTTGCACCAGCATCTTCCTATAAAAATGAATAAATTGATATGTGGTTTTCAAGAAAATAAACAATATTTACATGAAGCAAATATATTTTAATGTTCTTCTTCTTCTTCCTTCTTCCTTCTTCCTTCTTCCTCTTCTCCTTCTCCTCCTCCTCCTCCTTCTTCCTCCTCCTCCTCCTCCCCCCCTCTTTCTTCTTTCTTGTGCAGTGTGAATTAGGCCTTACCAATCCTGCCAATTAGTTGTTCACTACTGTAGGGATTTGACTGTAAAGTCAGAAAATCACATGCATCTCTTTTTGCCTTTTGTGTCTTCATTGCCACAGCAGTGTCCTTTGATAGGCAAAGTCAAGGGTCACGAATCCAGACTGCTCCTTTGGTGCCCGATAGCAGCAACAGTAGCCCATATGGAGCTTTCCGCATGAACCTTCCTGCAAAAGACCTCAAGGCCTTCTACAGTTCTTTGCCATACCTTTCCAATCCTAACCTAAAAAGTATGGCGTTAACACAAGCTGGTGAGCTCATGTCTCATGGCAGCCAGAACCTGAGGACTGATCGTGCTAGTGGCCAAGGAAGAACACAACAAGGGCCATGGAAGGCAGCTGGTTCCCTGTCCCCAAATCGTACCATCAGAGGATCCTGGGTCAAATATGACAAAAAGGGTAAGGCAAAGCCCCTTCCCCAAATAAGTGAACATGTATCTAAGCTTTACCAAAAGCTTCTTTGAAAGAAACCAAAGTTGATATCCATCACTTCCTCTATAAACTATAATGATGGAATATACAAAATCCGCAAGTGAATAAACATTTTCTTTTTTAAAAAAAAGCAGTCCAGATTTTGCAAGTTCAGATTCAGGAGATCATCCCAGATTCCAAAATGTATCTCTCTCCATTATTTCATGTCATGTAGGGTTTTATATACGGTTAACATCATTTTTAATCTAGAGACTTAATGCTACAGTATTTCCTCATGGAAGACTTGCTTCAGCCCAAAATGAGCCTTAATGGTCTTTTTCTGTATCCCATCAGGCTCTACAACATCCTTTTTGAGGTGTGATAACCAGAAATGTCATTCCGGCTGCAATCTTGTCATAGTATTATAGAAGGCCAGTTATCTCAATTTCCTTCTTAAGGATTCCTAGAGTGAAATGGACCTGTTTCCTTCCCCACCAAGGCTATGTATTGAATTGTCATCTGGAGTTACTTCTACACCATAACTCCAAGACCTCTTTGGTGACCAATCACTGTTGCCACCTTAGATTCCATTAGTATGCATCTGAAATTGAGTTTTCTCTCTCTCTCAAATGTGCGTGACTTTGTATTGCATTGTACTAATCAGCCATTTTCAATCCCTTTGGGAGCTCCTCTCTTCTCTTTTACTGCCCCAAATAAGTTAATATCATCTGCAACGTAATTATTTCAGCTATCCAAGTCCAAACAAGTGAAAAAGCTTTGGTGCCAATGCAGATCTTTGTGGAAGGGATGCAGTGGTGGGTTTCAAAAATTGCTCGAACCTACTCTGTGGGT